AAAAAAAAAATAAAAAAAAAAAAACCTTTTAAAGAAGGGGAAGAAGAAAATATAGGCACATACATATCAATTTAAGGAGGAAGAGAATGGGGAAGGGGAGTAGGTAAAGAGAAAGAAAAAATTTTTTCTCTCAAAATCTACTTTTCTGTATAAAACAAAATTTTAGAACAACTAAAATCCAAGCTAAATAAAATAAAATAAAATAAAATAAAATAAAATAGAATCCAAGCTATTATTCCAACATCTTAAAGATCATATAACCATTTCTCTTCCTAGAATCACTGTCTTTAAATATTGAAATGTGGTGTTTAGCTGGAGATTGCAATGACTTAACAGCTTTGAAAACACTTTTTTCTAGGTCGTCTGGACCCCTCAGGTGCTGTCAAATGGTGTCCAGTTCTCAAGGATCAGTCCAGATGGTGAGGAAGGTTACCCTGGAGAGTTGAAAGTCTGGGTGACATACACACTGGATGGTGGGGAGCTTATGGTCAACTACCGAGCTCAGGCCAGTCAGACCACACCGGTCAATCTGACCAACCATTCTTATTTCAACCTGGCAGGCCAGGTAAGAGAACTTACCTCTGCTCTCCTGCTTAGTATAAAATGTGACTTACCTCTCCTCTCCTGCCACATGCTTTGTGGAATGACCTGGGGAGTAGCTGGATAGACCCACCCAGAATGGTCTTAGCCTGGCAACGGAGTCACCTGGTGATGAGGAAAAATGCCTAGCAAAACAGCTGACTCGTAGTAGGCGCTCAATAAATGGAAGTTACAGAGAAAGATGGAATGAGTACATTGTGTTACTAAGAGAACTTGCTCTTTCCCACAGGTTCAGACAAGTACCCAGCTATTTTAAGAACTCCCTCTCTTCTAACTGTAACATGAGTTTACATTTGCTTCCTCATTCCACTCCTACTCCCAAAAAATTACTTCCAGTTAAGTTCCACTTTCCACCCTTGGAACTTTAAAAATGTGCCTGGCTCAGCTCCTTTAGGTATGCCACCAACATTCGTATGTCTCTGCTGTACTTCCCACCCTAAGAGGGGTATAGAGACACTCTCACCCCTCTTAGGTAATCCCCTCTACACTACCTTATTCCCAACTAATGGTAGTATTTTAGTTTGTTGAGGAGGCTGTTACATGAGGCAGAGGGAAAAGTTTAGCTAAACTCTGTAGACTATATCTGTGGCTTCCTCTTCATCTGAAAAACTCATTGTTGTCTACTCTACTTGAATCACTTTGGCATGATTTCCTACCACAAGATGATGTTCACAGCCAACTAGTAATATCTAGCATTTTTACACTCTTTTAGGAGTCTGCTGACAATGTGCTGATTTTTTTTTCTAGGATCTTTTCAAATAGCACGATGTGCTGATTTTTTTTTTCTAGGATCTTTTCAAATAGCACGAATTAATTGGTTCTTATGTAATTTCCAAAGTTCTCCCTTGAAAAATAAAGAGGATTATAAACTTGTCTATCCCTTACCCTCAGAAACTTCTGCCATGCTCCTTGAGATCTTAAAAACAAACCAAAAACCAAAGCTGCCCAGCCATGCGCCTCTGTAATAATGTGCATAAAGACCCTAATTTTTTTTTTTTTAAATAGGCCAATTTGAGGCTTGAACTCATGACCCTGAGATCAAGACCTGAGCTGAGATCAGGAGTCAGACTCTTAACCAACCGAGCCACCCAGGCGCCCCTTATACACCCAACTTTTTATAATAAGCTCAAAAGGAACCTGGCAGAAATAGAATAAAATATTAGTGGGTTTGTATAGGTAGTAGATCATGGTGATTTTTTACTGTTTTCCACATTTTTGTATACTGAGAACATCCTATTCTGTAATGGGTGGGAGGTGGCCTAAAGAAAGAGATTCAGAGGGGCGCCTGGGTGGCGCAGTCGGTTAAGCGTCCGACTTCAGCCAGGTCACGATCTCGCGGTCCGTGAGTTCGAGCCCCGCGTCGGGCTCTGGGCTGATGGCTCAGAGCCTGGAGCCTGTTTCCGATTCTGTGTCTCCCTCTCTCTCTGCCCCTCCCCCATTCATGCTCTGTCTCTCTCTGTCCCAAAAATAAATAAACGTTGAAAAAAAAAATTTAAAAAAAAAAAAAAAAGAAAGAGATTCAGAGATAGGAAAGAAATTATGCATGAAATATTACACCTGCCAATGTATTCCAATCAAGGAGACAAAATGGGAATGTAACATTCACTAAAACTCTTTCCATTTACTTGGCAGGAGGACTCTCAGAGATCACAGACCCCACCCAAAAGGGTGTTCAGTGTTAGCCCCCTTCTGTATACTGTCTTAGTGCAGCTCGAACCCATAGCCACTAACTTCAGGGTTGAGGATAGGAGGGAGCCATCAGCCTTTTGGGGAGCATCACAACAAGAGTGGGTAGTTGTTTACGAGGCCTGGGGTCAAAGGGCTTCTGCATCTTCAAATCATCTCTTACCCTACCCAGGAAAGCATTTTTTAATTTATTTTTGAGAGAGAGAGAGCACAAGTGGGGAAGGAACAGAGGGAGAGACACACACAAAATCTAAAGCAGGCTCCAGGTTCAGAGCTGTCAGCTAGAACCCATGAACCGTGAGATCATGACCTGAGCCGAAGTCAGACGCTCAATGGACAGAGCCACCCAGGCACCCCAGCACTACTGTATGTCTTAAACTGTCCCCAGGGAAATAGCTCAAAACTTGATCATTTAAAGTGGTCAGCTCATCTTATACATTTTCTTTTTGTTTTGTTTATTTGTTATTTAATAAGCAGTATGTTTGTGCTACTTGGGGCCAAATTTTGACTCATCACTTCTAAGTTTGAGTGTTGGAGACCTGGAGGGAGGAGAGAACTGGTTCTCGAAGAGTGGAACAGGTATATAGGTTGCAGGTTGGTTGGGCTTTTGTTGTTGTTGTTGTTCCTTCCTTATCTAACCCAAAACTGGGCAAACATGTTTTTTGTTTTGTTTTGTTTTTTGGTTTTTGTGTTTTTTTTAATTGAAACTTTACCCAAAGAGGTATGAAAGCAGCCTCGGGGAATTTGAGATGAGAATAGTGGTGGTTCCAGTATGACTGGGTAGGTATGTCAGCAAGGACCTTCCGCCTTTCCACTCTGTTCCTTCAGTGTTTTTGGCTTTTGCCTTCAGGCATATCCTTTTATGGTCACAAGATGGCTGCCATAGCCCCAGGAATCACCTCTACATATAGTCACAACCAGAGACAAAAAAGGACCTATTCCTTTCTTCATATCTCTAATGTTCCATTTTAAAGAATAGACAAAAAACTTCCCCCAGAAGCTCCCCAGCAGACTTTCCTTCACATTTCATGGGCCAGAAGTGTGTCCCATGTCCTGCCTAACCTAATCACCAGCAAGGGAATTAGGCCACCATGATTGGCTTAGGCCAATCAATATTCACCCGGTGGGGGGCGCCTGGGTGGCGCAGTCGGTTGAGCGTCCGACTTCAGCCAGGTCACGATCTCGCGGTCCGTGAGTTCGAGCCCCGCGTCAGGCTCTGGGCTGATGGCTCGGAGCCTGGAGCCTGTTTCCGATTCTGTGTCTCCCTCTCTCTGCCCCTCCCCCGTTCATGCTCTGTCTCTCTCTGTCCCAAAACTAAATAAACGTTGAAAAAAAAAAAAAATTTAAAAAAAAAAAAAAAAAAAAAAAATATTCACCCGGTGGGATTGGGGAGGGAGCCCTTTCCCTGAGTATACAGCCTACCATAGGATGAATCAACAAGGCAGGGTTCTGCCAGAGAAAAAGGAGGGTGTCCGTAAAGGAGCTGCTATGACTTTTGGGTGGTATGATAGTGTCCAGGATATCCTGCTAAAGGTGATGACAGCTGAATTAAGGCAGTGGTAGTGGTAATGCACGAAAAAAAAAAGAAAACCCTGCAGGCCATAATGAGCTCTATAAATGGTTAATGTTCTGAGCTAGCAGCAGCTGAGCAAAGTTAACCAAAACAACACTGAACCCAAAGATGGGCCTCAGGATCTGTTGGTGGATCAGCATTTCTTGCCAGGTTTTCATCAGCCTGGAAAGGAAATGAATCCAGCAGTAATATTCCACTGAAGTGGGTCATTGCATTATTCCAGGTCAGAAGAATCATAAAATGAAGCATGCTTCCCTTTAATAAAGGAATGTAGGTGCCGCTTTGTGACCCAGTGCCCGTTAAGAGAGTGGCTGTCTAATAAATGTTCCTTTCCTTCCCCCTCCCTCCCCCCCGCCAGGCTTCTTCCTAGCCTCTTAGACTTAGCAATTTATTTTGGTATGTGATGGAATCATTTGCTTCCTGCCCTAATGCTAAAAAACACAAAGAGAAGGAAAGTCCTAAGCAGCATTATTCATCATAATAAAAAGCTGGAAACAAGCAAAAGTCTGTCAACAGGAGAAGGGATAAACAGATTGTGATACATTCGTACAATGGAATATTCCTCAGCCTCCGCTGGAGCACTGAGCAGATAGAACCAAGGAAACTGTCCCCAGTTCTCTTCCCTCATCTCCGCTCCCCTCAGACCCCGAGGCCTCTTCGGTGCTGGCGGTACCACCGAGGCGTGAGGGGACGGCGGCAGGGGGAGCCGGGCAAGAGAGGTACCCCTCTAGTCCAGAGCTGCTCTAGGCGGTGGTGCAGACCCTTCCCACTCTGGACCCGCCTTCTCAGGTCAGAACAGGACCAAACAAGTGGCTAAGGAAGAGACTGTGGGCAGAGGCCTGGCCTTGTCTCCGCCCCCCGTCCACTCCTACCCCTGCCCGCCTGTACCCACCGGGAGAACACAAGACCACGGCAGTTCTTCAGAACCAGAGCCTCCTCGGAGTGCAATTAAAGCAATTTCTGGCCTGTTTAGACATCAATTCTTATGGTCTCTAAGATCCTGGCATTTCTCCTCAGGACGACTCCATTTGATTGTGGAGGCCTGAGTCTTTCTGATTAGAGGATCGTTTCAGTTAACCCCCAGGGCTCCGCCTCCCTCTGCTTGCTTCTCAGGAACCCAGCAGGGCTTTCAGTGTGACTTAGCTCAAGGTTTCTCAACCTGAGCATGTGGACACGTTGGGTCAGATAATTTCTTTGTTGCAGGGGATGGGCATTGTAGGGTGTTTAGCAGAATTGCTGGCCTCTTCCCACTAGATGCCAGGAGCATTACCACCCCCAATTATGACAATCAAAACTGTCTCCAGACATCGTCAGATTTTGCCCTATGGCAAAATCATCCCCAGTTGGGAGCCACTAGGTTAGCTTATTTCTGAGTGTTCACTTAGCAAAAGCCCTCTCCTGGTTCTCCTTCCACGTCTTCTGCTATGAAGCTTGAAAATTTACTCCTATTAGAATATAATCCTTTTTAGCAGAAACATATACGTGTATTTTCCAATTTGCAAGGAGCACAACATGGCTTTACTAAACTTCTTCACAAGAATCCTGGAAAAGGTGGAGGCATTACTGGCCCAGTTTTACCCTGAAGGAAAAGCGATTCTAGGAGCACCTGGGTGGCTCAGTCGGTTAAGCATCTGGCTCTTGACTCCGGCACAGGTCAGGATCTCACAGTTTATAAGTTTGAGCCCCACATTGAGCTCTATGCTGACAGTGTGGAGTCTGCTTGGGATTCTCTCTCTCTCTCCCTCTCTCTCTGTTCCTCCCTTGCTTGTGCTCTGTAAAGAAAGAAGGAAAAGGAAGAAAAGAAAGAAAGAAAGAAAGAAAGAAAGAAAGAAAGAAAGAAAGAGAAAGAAAGAAAGAAAGAGATTCTACCTGGGGCCATTCAATAGAGCTGGAGATAGACCACAGGCCTTCTGACTACTGACCCTTTATCTTTGACCCCACTGGGGAGGGCAAGCTGCATCTTTTAAAAAAAAAATTTTTTTTTAACATTTATTTACTTTTGAAAGAGACAGAGTGAGAGCAGGGGAGGGGCAGAGAGAGAGGGGGAC